CACCTGTGCCTTGAGGGATGAAACCAGCAAGGCACTCTCTTCCCACCTGTGCCAAGGCTTGCTCTGTAAGTAAAGGTGTCCAAGAGGTGGCAAAGGCAGTGGGTTCTAGAATTACTAATTCCCTAAAGCAGAGGTTCTCAACTGGGCGGCATTTGGCAACTTCTCTGGACACATTTCTGTTGTCACGGCTGGGGGTGCGGTTGGCATTTAGTGGCTCAGGCCAGGGATGCTGCTAAACATCGCAGGATGCACAGGGGCACAGAGAGTGGCTCAGCCCGAAATGGCAATAGTGCCCCGGTTAAAGATAGGCTAGTTGCTGGGATGGAACTTCCAACATTGCTGTAAATGCAGTAGCAAGCCAGGCCATTCACCCCCTAAGAAGTTCTGTTGTTTAGAAAGTGTAAGTTAGTAGAGGTTGTGTCCTCATAGCCTTATGTAAATTAAAAAAAAAAGAAAAAAACTCTTTAGAGTTTTTACTGTCAGCAACTTTTGCAATGCATAAATTGAAATTCATTTTTTTGTTTTTTGGTTTTTTTTTTATTTTCACCCTAGAAAGGCCAGGATCCAGAGCAAGTCTGATTGAAACTGAGGACTGCTAAAATGATAGAATCAGGAAGGACTTTAGGAATTAAGACCCTTATTTTTAGGGCAAAGGCAGCAATGCCCAGCGGCAAAACTGGGATGTAAAAAACCCAAAGCTCCTAATGGTTCTCAGCTCCTAGGTGTGAAGCTGAAAGAGCCGGTCTTTCAAGATGCATCCTGAGTGTCTGTTGGGGCCTAAATTTAACACAGAGCCAAGTGGCCATTTGCCCACTAGAGGTCACACACGTACTCTGCTTTGCTGACTAGGGGTCACACACGTAACCTCTTGCCCAAAAAACCCTCAAGTTCGCCTCGCTTTGGGACATTGATACTTCTGTTCCTGTTCACACCACTTCAATCAATAGCTGCTGGAAAATCCCATTTTGCCTTGTGGGCCTAACCAACAGACGAGCCAGTAACCAAGCACTGACCAATCAGAACTAGACCAGTTTGCATCCCTGATTTGCATAAGTGGACCAGGGTGGGAACCTGGGCAAAGACTTTCTCTGTGAAAATAGCCCCTTTCTCTGTTCTCGCAGAGCGCTTCTTCATTTTGTACCAGAGGCTGTGTCTCCCGGTTTGCAAACTGCTGGTAGAAGTCAAGTCTCTCTTAACCGAACTCTTCTTTTTCAGTAGTTTTGGAACAAGGAAGATGGTTCTATCTTTACTTATTGCAGTGGACACTGGATTTAATGTAAGACTGTGTTCAAGAAACTCGGCCGGGCGCGGTGGCTCACGCCTGTAATCCTAGCACTCTGGGAGGCCGAGGCGGGCGGATTGCTCGAGGTCAGGAGTTCAAAACCAGCCTGAGCAAGACCCCGTCTCTACCAAAATATAGAAAGAAATTAATTGACTAACTAAAAATATATATACAAAAAAAATTAGCCGGGCATGGTGGCGCATGCCTGTAGTCCCAGCTACTCGGGAGGCTGAGGCAGTAGGATCGCTGAGCCCAGGAGATTGAGGTTGCTGTGAGCCAGGCTGACGCCACGGCACTCACTCTAGCCTGGGCAAGAAAATGAGACTCTGTCTCAAAAACTAAACAAAACAAAACAAAACGGAAAAAAAAAAAAAAAAAAGAAACTATACGGTAGCTTCGATCTGGGAGACTGAACTTGAAAGGTAGATTTTGTCCTAGAATGCCTCAGAACACAAAATCAGTACACGAGCCATGGTATAGATGTGCAGAGCAGTGGCGTCTAGACTGTGCAGCGGAAATGCAGACAAAACAGGATGAGGAAAAAGGCCGGAGAATTAAGAGGGACTGACAGGAACCCAAGCAAGGAGCTGTAGCTGACAAGTTCCAAGGTTAAGTAAAAACCCATCCAATGTCCGAGTGACAGCTCAACACATCCACGACTTCTATATGATTTTAAACAAGTCATTCACTAGAGGGAAATTACCCAGCTTCTTGTATTTGATCTGATCGATATGTTCAGGAAAAACACAAATCTCTGTTGGAATCTAACATACATTACCTGATCATCTTCAGCACATCCTGTGTCTGAAAGCTGGTCCTACTTTACAGGAAGAAATGACATTCTTGAGCCCTCCTTCCTGCCCTACCTGATATTTTACACCCAGTACCCCAAATGTCCCCACCTGTGAAATACACCTGAGCCTCCAGGTGCCCAGGCCGCAGACCCCGACGCTGGCCTGACGGAACTCAACCTTCTGCTGATCAATTTCTCCTTGGGTCACAGGAGGAAAATGGTCCCTGATTCTCATTCATATGCTCGGGATAAAAAAGTGATAATGCCTGGGAAGGGAAGAAGCTTTGTTTTTTGTTTTTTTGAGACAGGGTCTGGCTCTGCTGCCCAGTCTGGAGGGCAGTGGTGCAATCATTGCTTACTGTAACCTCGAACTGGTGGAGTCAAGTGATCCTCCTGCCTCAGCCTCCTGGGTAGCTGGGACTACAAGGTGCCATCACCATGTCTGGCTAGAGGCTTTGAATTCCTAGAAGGAATGATGCCTTGCAAATTCAAGTGGAATGACTGTATAACTTTACTGGTTACTGGGACTTAGGGGTGAGTTGCGCTCAGTAATTACGAGCATGCCATTGAATGCCCTCCTGGGTCCAGCGGTCCCAGTCTGCCTGGCAGACGGCAGAAGAGTGTTCTCTGTGGTACCAGGGACGACCCTCATCTTCCATCAATTGGTCAAGAAGCCCCTCTGTTTCTTTCGTTCCCTGGCTTGCTTATGAGTAACCCCTAAATGACAGCACCGAAGTTGCATTGGACCCAAGCCCAGACATCCTGAAAAGCCCCAGAGGTGAGGCCTGGGGCCGAGCAATGCAACTTCGGTGCTGTCATCTAGATGAGCCGGCTTCGGTGGTCCCTGTGGGTCCTAAAGCTCCTGAGCTCAGAGCTCAGAGACTGAAAGCAAATGTGACTCTGAGTCCAAACCACTATTTAGCATGGTCTTTGGAGTGCAGGTCAATTCCCCAATAGGGGGCAAACAACAGAGTAAAAAGGACACAACTAAAAATTAGAGAAAGTCTTTCAGAGGATTTGTCCAAATGGAACCAGGCCTTATTCGGATTTAAAATCTTCCCGCTGCCCCTCAAAGATGACAGGCCTCATCTCTCTGTAAGGTTCGCATTCTGTCTGCTGGGGGTGAGGGGTTCCCATCCCTGCGGCCCTGCCTCACCTCGTCGGGGCCTCAGCCCCAGCCTCACCCACTAGGTGACCTCAGGCCCTGCGGGAACCCCGTGTCGGATGCTGCCAGAACTCCAACTTGGTCATTTTTAAGATTTCAAGAAAAACAGGAGTTTGGAAAGTTTTAACTGATGATATCTCCAAAAATAATACAATGAGGAATGAAACACAGAACTCTCTGTGCTTGGTTTGGAGAGGACTAAATAAACCAAAATCTAACTGAGGCCATCACCCTAAGGGAGGAAAGGCTATCAGCACCCACATCACAACGCCCTGAACTCTTAAAAGGCAGGATTCACCCTACATGTGTTGTCAGTGACTCAGAATCCCATTGGGAAACTGCATCCTATTAAACATGTAACCTTTATCTAGACTTGGACAGCAAAGAATCAGCTTGGATGTCCTGAGCTAATCTGAACAAAGCTGAGACAGTGACTTTATCCACAGCGGAACAGACGAAACCTGGGCTAATGCAAATAGATACCAGCGGGACTTTATCGGGTACTTGAATAACTGCTAAAGCAAAGAGATGCCAAAGGCGGAACATTCTGAGTCTGTTCACGAAGAAATATTTAGTCAATATTTTGTGGGCCCGTTATTTGCTCAAGAAGGATACCACAAATCTGTAGTAAATTTGGGCCCTACCTTTGTTCAGGCTGGCCCTCCTCTTAATGCTAAATTATTAATATATTAATACCAAAATCTACAGAATTTACACTTATCTGAACAAAAGACTTTTTCTTTAAAAAAAAAAATCCCATTGCAACTTAGATGAGTGTTTTCAAACTGCCTCAAGCTCTCAGAAGGTAAGTACCTTGGGCTGAGTCGGTGGGCCCGGTCCCTCCCGTGGCGGGCAGACACTCTCCTCCGAACACACACCTCGGACTGGTGACACAGTGAGCTTAAATATTCTGCTGCTTAAAGAAGAGAGCTTGTGGCCGGGCGCGGTGGCTCACGCCTGTAATCCTAGCACTCTGGGAGGCCGAGGCGGGCCGATTGCTCGAGGTCAGGAGTTCGAAACCAGCCTGAGCAAGAGTGAGACCCCATCTCTACTATAAATAGAAAGAAATTAATTGGCCAACTGATATATATAGAAAAAAATCAGCCGGGCATGGTGGCATATGCCTGTAGTCCCAGCTACTCGGGAGGCTGAGGCAGGAGGATCGCACGAGCCCAGGAGTTTGAGGTTGCTGTGAGCTAGGCTGATGCCACGGCACTCTAGCCTGGGCAACACAGTGAGACTCTGTCTCCAAAAAATAAAAAAAATAAAAAAAGAGAGCTTGAAAAACCACTGACTAGCTGGGCAGGCTGCCAGAACTGGAAGGTTCTCAGACAGTATTGGGTCCAACACCCCACTGTCCAGAAACAGTGGGAGATCGGGCCTCCTCTTTAGGACAGAATCCAGGTGGTTTCTTTTTTCAGGGGAGGAGGAGGAAAAACCTTAAAAATTGCTTCTAGATTCTAAGTGTCCAACCTCAGTAGGCAAATACACCTTCTAATGACTGCTAAATTACAGCCATTCCAACATTTCTAGTGTTTCTTAAAAACAAAAAAAACCTAGGCTAACAGACAAGGCATTACGAAGACCAATTGTGGAGAGTGTGTTTACAAATGCAGTCGTATATTCCGTCCCCTCCATGATTTAGGGGATGGAAAATCCAGAGTCCAAGTACAACCTACCTTAAGCAAATTCAAAGTATGCAATTATAAAGCAGCTTAATGATTACACGTATCACAAAATGGTTTGTCAGACCATCTGTCTACATAGCAACATCACTGGTATTTATAATACAACTCATTTACAAATGTTGTTTAATTTGGATACAACTTCAGGAATATGCACTGGGGTAAAGTAAGAGGCAGAGGGAGGAGAGAAGGGAGAAAAGAATAGCTCCATTCCATAAATATCTGGGCCTAAGGATTCCAAATATGAGATGCAGGGTAAGACCAGAGGAAGCATGTAGAGCAATGATAATCACTGTGACTTTTTTTCCCAAAAAAAACTAATTCTTCTTAACCTGCTTCCCAGGCTAGATTTTGTAGAGCTTTGGCTAAAACTTCCAGACATAGAGATTGGCGTGAGGCTGCAATACCAGGACATGACATCTGGGACACACAGGAGATGATGGACAGTGTGTATGCATGGAAACAACAGGATGTGACACCCTGGATACACGGGACACATGATACTGTGGTGACGGGCTGGGGTTTTCTATTAAAGTGATGCTTCGGATCTTTGTAGCAAAAGAAGATGAGGCAGCAGACAGACATCTGCTTGGCTCAAAAGTTCAGGAAGCAACTGGGTCTCAACCAGCCCACTGTGCTTGGGTTAAGGCAGGGTGGGTGGGCAGCGGCAGCAGCAGCAGCCCCTGCCAGACAGCTCTGGCCTGGCCCCCGTGCCAGCCCAGAGCGTGCCCCTTCGGATCCCCCCCTTTCCCATGGCTTCCACTCGGAGTGGAGGTAAGGCAGGCAGAGGCTGGGCAGGCGTGGCCAGCTTGCCTTGTGTGAATGGTTCAGCAGCAGAAGTGCATGAATATGGTATTTCAGAGAAAAAGTCAAAACCCATCCAATGAGCTTCAATTTCCTCTGTTTCTGGTACAAAAAAAAAAAAAAAAAAAGATGAGCGAAAGTGGGGGAGGAAAGAAGAGAAGAAGAGGAAAGAGAAAGTGAGGGGGGGGAGGTAGTAGGAGAGAGAGGAGAATGAGAAAGGATGAAGGAATTTCAGAGCTGCAAGCAGTGCGTGTTCCCTGGGAATTCTATTGTGCCGACTCAGAGGACCCTGTGGGTGTCGATGGGAACCACAACTCTGCTCACTGTGAGGGACGGCAAGAGAGGTCTCGGGAACACTTTGGTGTCCAGTGTTTGGGGCCTGTTTTCCTGCTTGGCCTCTGTGAGAACGCGCTTTTGGGTGTTCACGGGAGGTCTCGGCTCCTTGGCTTTGAATTTGACTTTGTAGCCTCGCACTCCCTGTTTCTGCAAAAGCCGCAAGGTGGCGAGATACTGCACGTTGCCGGGGTTGGGAGGGAACGCCAGGTTTTTCTCAGGCAGGAGGGAACAGGGCAGGCATGTCCGGGCCAGTGGGGAAGGGAAGGGCGGCGTGTTGTTGACCTTAAGGTGCCTGGCCAGTTCAACAGGTCTCTTTTCACCTTTCCGGTCAACTGCTTTCAATCTATATGCACAAGCCACACACTCATCCTTTTCCACACTCTCTCCTGACTGTACCTTCTCTTCTGACTGCAAGAAAAAGTTCTTACTCTTCTTACCCAGAACATCCAAGCCATTGGGGAGTGCAGGTTTCAGGGGGGGCAGGACTAAGAGGGCCTTGGTGGTCAGGGCGTCTGAGGTGGAGAGCCCTTTGTCAGCGCCAACCCCCGGACTCCTGGGGGCCTTGCCCCTGTTGGCCTCAGGGACAGCCCAGTCTTGTGTGCACAAAATAAACTCCTTGATTTGCACACTTTTTCTCTTTCCAGGAATGTAGGTGGGAAAGCAGATTTTACTAATCTCCCTGGAAGCAGTGCTGGAGCCCTGGGGGGACCCCTGGGTCTGGGAGAGGCTGTTCCGATCCTTCTCCAGGCTGCCCTCTGTGTCAGCCCCTGCCTCTACTGTCCCAGCCTCTGTGGGAGGCTTGACCTCGAGGCTCCCTTGGGAGAGATTCACACAGACTAAGCAGCCACTGCTGGCACTTTCTCCTACCCTCGCCTTTTTTGGTTTCTTCCTTGGCCAGATGCAGGCAGTTGGAGAAGTCCTTCCCCAGCCTTGGACCTGCAAATGAAGAACAAGTTACTTTCTAGCGAAGGGGCCCAAACTCTAGTTGCCCCAATTCTGGCCACATCCCCATTTTGCCAGTCTTATGGGAACCAATATTTTTCTTAAAATTGACTCACTTAAAATGTAAAAACCTTTTATTTATTTTTAGTAATAAAAATATTATTATTATTTTTTGAGACAGAGTCTCCCTTTGTTGCCCAGGCTAGAGTGAGTGCCGTGGCGTCAGCCTAGCTCACAGCAACCTCAAACTCCTGGGCTCAAGCGATCCTGCTGCCTCAGCCTCCCAAGTAGCTGGGACTACAGGCATGCACCACCATGCCCAGCTAATTTTTTCTAAATATATTAGTTGGCCAATTAATTTCTTTCTATGTATAGCAGAGACAGGGTCTCATTCTTGCTCAGGCTGGTTTCCAACTCCTGACCTCGAGCAATCCGCCCACCTTGGCCTCCCAGAGTGCTAGAATTACAGGCGTGAGCCACCACGCCTGGCCAAAAAAATATTATTAATAAATAATAAAAATAAAAATATTGGTCTTGCTCTGTCGCCTGAGATAGAGTATAGTAACTCAATCATAGCTCATTGCAACCTCCAACTTCTGGGCTTAAGTGATCCTCTTGTCTCGGCCTCCCAGTAGCTGGGACTACAGGTGCATGCCACCATGCCCGGCTAATTTTTTAAATTTTTTGTAGAGACATGGTCTCCCTATGTTACCCAGGTTGGTCCTGAACTCCTGGCCTCAAGCAATCCTCCTGCCTTGGCCTCCAAAAGTGCTAGAATTATAGGCATGAGCCACTGTGCCCAGCCAAACAAAAACTTTTTTTTTTTTTGAGACAGAGTCTCGCTTTGTTGCCCAGGCTAGAGTGAGTGCCGTGGTGTCTGCCTACCTCACAGCAACCTCAAACTCCTGGGCTCAAGCAATCCTGCTGCCTCAGCCTCCCGAGTAGCTGGGAATACAGGCATGCGCCACCATGGCTGGCTAATTTTTTCTATATATATTAGTTGGCCAATTAATTTCTTTCTATTTATAGTAGAGACGGGGTCTCGTTCTTGCTCAGGCTGGTTTCTAACTCCTGACCTCAAGCTATCCGCCAGCCTTGGCCTCCCAGAGGGCTAGGATTACAGGCCACTGTGCTTGGCCAAGACTGTTGCTTTTAGGTAGCGAGAAAGCAAATAGCAGAGGCAGGTCCTGGGGTGCAGAGGAGTCCTGCATGCCCAAGGCACACCCTGCCCCATCCATGCCCAGAGTCCCCTGGCTGCCCTTGCCACAGGTCACCATTAAAATAGGGTGGCCAGATAAAAATACAGCACCATATTTGTGACACACTTATACTAAATAAGTTAGGTATTGTTTATCTGAAATTCAAATTTACTGGGTGTCCTATATTTTCGTTTGCTTAATATGGCAATCCTGTTTAATCACCAGAAAGACTAAGTTTCCTTATAGTTTCTCTATAGTTTCCTTATAGCTTTAAGTTTAGGATTCTATTATTGATTCTAAGAATAGTTTAAGAATAAGCCCCCAGAGTTCTGAGTAGAACCACCAGGGTAGAAACCCCAGTTCTCCCAGGGAGTTCAGCACAGGGTTAAGGAGCTCAGGTTCTGCAGTTCGGAAGACTCAGACTCAAGCCCTGCCTTGGTCACTTGCTGGCTGGTGGTGGTGACTCAGTCAGTATCCTTATCCCAAAAGTGAGGCTGTTAATACACCTACCTCAGATGGCTATGGAGAGGTTGAATGAATTAACATATGCAAAGCATTTAGTACTGCGCCATCCGCATGCTAAGTGGCTAAAGATACCTAATAACAGGTACCGCTATTATCATCAACAACATTTTACCTGTGTTCTAAGGTTTTCTATATTTCATTGATGCTGCATATTTTGGTAATATTAACTATTTTTGAAAAAAAAAAGTTTTGCATCAAAACATTGATGTGTAAGAGATCTAACTCAAGAAGAAACTCACCGCTTCTTCCCATCCAGTCCTGATGCTAAACTCAGTGACTTTTTCATCTTGTTCAAGTGTAATGTCACTGATATTGAGAAGACAACAAACATGATTCTTTTCTCTTCTTTCATCTGGACAAGTACAGGTGAGTTCAGTTTCTTCTGTGCTTTGAATTTCATTATTTTCACTATTTTCTGTATCAGTCTCATTTTTCTGACAGAGATCCATTATTGTGATGGTTGCTTAAAGTTTTTAACATCTTCTTGCAGTCTGAAAATGTAGATTAAACTTAGTTTTTACTGTTAATTTTTTAAAAAAGCAGTTCAATAACTCAGGTGAAATATTTTCAAGACATCCAGGAATAGACTAAGAATAAATATTACGAAACCATCCATTGCCACAACCACTGGCATTATTTTCCAACATTCCGTCAGGCTTGGGAAAAAAAAAAAAAGATAAGGCTAATTTTAAAGACTAATGGATGCAATTAAAGTCTGACATTAGGAGTGAAGAAAAGACAACAGGAAGACACTAGCACAGCCTCTATCTCCTGCAATGGGGTACAGAGCATAGTAAGGAATGCAGGTTCAAGCATCCCTACTTCTCACTCCAAAGATGTCCAAATGATATTGTGCTACCCCTGAGAGAACTGCAGTGAATACGTCTGATTTATGCACCCCAGCCTCCTTGCCCTCCTCCTTTTCCCCTTCCCAGCAACCCTTGATATTTGGCTTGGGTATCCACAATCTTCTTGGGAACCTGGTGGAGCATGTGGTCTAGGCCATGTCAATCAGTTCCTTATCTTTCCCATACCTCTACCTGTCTGTCCCTGCTCCATTCCCCCAAATAAATACTGGTTCTCAAAAAGAAAAGGAAAAAAAAAAATCAAAATAACAAGTGTTGGCAAGGATATAGAAAAACCAGAACCCTCATTCATTGCTGGTGGCAATGAAAATTGGTTTTCGGAAATGTCTGGAAGACGGTTTGGTAGCTACTCAAAAAGTGAAACAGCTGAGCACCACAAAAGTCTTGCGATAAAAGAAAAGAAAAAAAATTTTCTAAACTAATAATAAATAAATAATTAAAGAAAAAAAAAGTTAAACAAAATTACCATCAAACCCAGAAATTCTGCTCCTAGGAATATACTTAAGAGAATCGAAAACAGGCATTCAAACAAAAACTTGTACATAAATGTTCATAGCAGTAAAGTTCATAATAGCCAAAAAGTGGAAACAACCCAACTGTTTACGAGGAATGAACAGATAAACAAAATGGGGCATATTCATGCAAAGGAATATTATGGAATATTCCTTAATATTGAGGCAATATTGAGGAATATTGCCTCAAAAAGCAATGAAATCCTGACACATGCTACAATGTGGATGAACTCTGAAAACATTAGGCTAAGTGAAAGAAGCCAGATACAAAAGACCACATAGTGCATGAATCCATTTAAATAAAAAAATCCAAAATAGGTAAATCCACAGAGACAGTAATATTAGGGTTGCTAGGGGATGCAGGGGAGGAAGAAATTGGGAGGCATTGGGTTTCTTTTGGAAGGATGAAAATGCTCTGGAATTAGGTAGTGGTCATTTATGGTTGCACAAGATTGTGAGTATACTAAAAACTACCAGTGAATGATATTTTAATTAAAATAGTAAGTTTTATACATGAATTTTTTTTTTTTTTTTTTTGAGACAGAGTCTCGCTTTGTTGCCCAGGCTAGAGTGAGTGCCGTGGAGTCAGCCTAGCTCACAGCAACCTCAAACGCCTGGGCTCGAGCGATCCTTCTGCCTCAGCCTCCCGAGTAGCTGGGACTACAGGCATGCGCCACCATGCCCGCCTAATTTTTTACATATATATATCAGTTGGCCAATTAATTTCTTTCTATTTATAGTAGAGACGGGGTCTCGCTCTTGCTCAGGCTGGTTTTGAACTCCTGACCTCGAGCAATCCGCCCGCCTCGGCCTCCCAGAGAGCTAGGATTACAGGCGTGAGCCACCGCGCCCGGCCTTATACATGAATTTTATCTCAATGAAAAAATGGGTTCACAAGTAGGCTTGTGATCTAAGCTGGATCGATCAAAATGCATCACAGAACCTTTGTGGGGGCTGATGGTACAAAAATACTCTCTTGGCGCTGCTTGTTGTAAAAGAAAAAGTATATAGCCCTAGAAGCTACTTAAAATCATTTCTGGATTGTAAGTGCTGGTTCATAAGGTAACCAGTGGGAGGTGAAGCTGAAAAAGAAAAAGGCAAAGCAAATAGTTAACAGAAATCCATAGGCTTTGGCTTCCGGTAAAGAAAGAAGCTTCTACTGGACCAAACTTCCAAAAGGTAATAACTAAAAACAATGGACAAAATATAAAAAACTTGCTGAAGGCACTGGAGAGCATCCAAAACAAGCAGGCACCAGAGGAGTCTAGACTTGGAGAAAGGGAATGACCTGGGTTAGTTTCTACAGCTTTTTGTCTGAAGATAGGCATAAGCTTGGAGAAGCAAGGGAGAGTTCAGGGCAACTAAAGTAGATGGAGAGTGGAGTGGGGGAAATTCTGAAAAGGAGAAAGCCAGAAGAGCAGGGTATCCCAAAATTCCATACAGAAATTCTTCTCAAATCTCTGGCTGACATATGTACAGGTCAGATTCCAAGCAGCCCAGATGAAGCTGATAGAACTAGACAGAGATTTTTAAAGCAGAAATAGAGTATATAGTGTGAATCCAGACAAAATAACTACCTGATTTTAAAAGATCAGAATCCTTCAGAGGCATATAATAGAATCCAGAGTTTGTACAGTGTCCAGGATTTAGTCCAAAACTACTGGACTCATGGAGAAACAAAATATAACTCATGGTGAGATGACCCAGTTGTTGGAATTAGCAGACAGGATTTTAAAACATTTAAAATATGACTATTTAAATATGACTATTTTCAAGGATGTAAATGAAAATATGCTCATAATGAATTAGCAAGTAGGAAATCTAGTAGAGAAACAAAAACCATTTATTAAAAATAGGAACTCTAGAAATGAAAAATACAACACCTGAAATTTTAAAATAGCAGCATATTGGAAAGGACAAAAGAAAAGTCATAAACTTGAAAACAGATCAATAGAAATTATCCAATATGAAAATATAGAGAAAAAAGAATTTACAAAATGAACAGAGCCTCAGGGACCTGTGGGACAATATTAAATAGCCTAAATCACATACAACTGGCCTCCCTATAAGAGAGGAGAGAGAGAATGAGGCAAAAATAATTTCAGAAGACATAATTTATGACTGAAATTTTTCTAAATATGGTAAAAAAAAAATTATAGATTTAAGAAGTTCAGTGAATCCCAAGAAGGATAAATAAAAACAAAACCACATCTAGCCATATCAGAGTCAAACTTCTGAAAACCAAAGATAGAAAAGTCCTGAAACCAGTTATTAGAAAAACTTCCTATCACATAAAAATAATATGTTAACTTCTCATCAAAAATAATAGAGGCTACAGAGAGTAAAATAACTTCATTAAATGCCAAAAGAAAAAAAAATGGCCACACAAAATTCTATACTCAATGAAAACATCTTTCAAGAATGAAAGCAAAATAAAACATTTTTAGATAAACAAAAACTGAGAATAGGACTCTGGGAGGCCGAGGCAGGAAGACTGCTTGAGCTCAGGAGTTAGAGACCAGTCTGAGCAAGAGTGAGACCCCCGTCTCTACTAACAATAGAAAATATTAGCCTGGCATGGTGGTGCGCCCATGTAGTCCCAGCTACTTGGGAGTCTGAGGCAGGAGGATCGCATGAGCCCAGGAGTTTGAGGTTGCTGTGAGCTAGGCTGACGCCAGGGTACTCTACTCAGGGCAACGGAGTGAGACTCTGTCTCAGAAAAAAGAAAAGAAAGTTCTTCCTTACACTGGACCAACACTGGTTTCCACACCCATCATGTCCTCTACCCCTTGGCCCTAGTTCTGCTCTCCAGGGCAAGGCTTCGTGATGGGAAGTGCATGGATGGCTTCAGGAGGTCTATGACACCTATGAACATGCCTCCATCAAAATCACAACGTGGTCTCTCAGTACAAAAGAGTGAAGAATTGATCCTGAGACTTCCCATTGTCTCAACATCCCAACAACCCTCTTAAACAGTTCCAGGTACTCTTCTCTCTTCCAGGGTACCCAACTCCAGCTCCTTCAACTATTCGTCACACACCACAAGAGTATGTGAAGTCTGAGGGGACACCAGCTAGTACATATAGAGAGAGGAACAGCAGAGGCCAAAAGATATGATACTGAGTAAACCCCTATTTTGTAGAAATTGAACCCAGTGAGGGTACCAGAAGAGGCTCTAGTCCCATTCTATTACAAAGTAGCAGTATAAACCCAGGTAACAATAATAATTTAATAAAAACACACACTGTCATGTATCTGTTACCAGGTGCCAGGCATGGTTATATATACTTTACCTGTTATAAACAGAGCATTTTTATAAGTGCTTTACTCATATAACACAGGTTCATGAAAGCTCTATTGACTCCTCCTAACCCAAACTAAGAATCATCCCTGTGTCAGCACACCCAGAAATATTAGTCAAAAGGTCAGATGACTACATACCAGATCACTAGATGCTCCTTCAGAACTCTGGTGCTCTTCAAGCAGGATCAGGATGTTCCACTACTAAAGGAGAATATTGGTGGTCTTTTCCTAATTAAAAAGAAATTCAGTTAGTGGATAGAACAGTCTTCATTTTAAGCTTCCCTTCTATAAACATACCTTTATTACCCACTCTTGTCTTCTAGCTCATGTTAGCAAATGACAAACAGAAATCTATAAGAAGCAATCAAAGATCAACTAAGAGAGTGGATGGATGTGTGATTCTTGCAAATTGCATGCAGTTTTACTTTTATGTTGGAATGCAGAAATCTACATTGATGTCATATTTTCTGGTAGTAAAATTATACCTAACTTACAGATTTGAGGTCACTCAAGAGTTCATGCTATCCATTTCTTGGCTTCCACTGAGCTTTACAACATGATTCAGCTTCAGAATCATAGGTATAAAGCATACATCAGAGTCCATACTAATGTTTTCCACCACATCAAGAAAACACAAAGGGCAAGATGGCGGACGAATAACACCGCCAGACAGAGTGTCTCTGCAAAAAAGACAGATTCTAGCAGAAATTAGAGGAAAGAAGCAAGAAGACGAGCAGTACACGCAAGGGCCGGAAGGAGGGTACCTGAGCCCGGGAGACTCCACGGGAGGAGGCTGCGGAGGAGAACTGGAGGCTGAGACCACCGGAGCAGCCCAGAGACCAGCGGCAAGGGTAGGTGGATTCGCTGTTTCCCCTCCCCTGCATTCGGACTGCTGGTGGTCCCCAGCGGTGGAGAATGCGGTCACCAGCCCAGAGACTGCCGCCGCCTGCCAATGGTGAGCCTGTAGCAGACGTGGCACCAGGTTCCCAACTTCCTCCGGGCACCTCCGTGTGCACAGACCCGAGCCGTGCAGCAGGAGGCACCTCCAGGGAACGGGACCTTCCCGTTTGGGACCCTACACCTGACTCAGGGGAACTCAGACTGTGAGCTCCCTACCTGCCCGCCCTCCCAGGTGCTGCTGGCACCGTGCTCCCAGGAGAATGGTGCCGACTCAGAGACTGACAGACATAGACCCAGCTTGGGCTCCCTGTGGAATTGACGACAGATCTTCCTCTGGTGGGGATTCAGATTTGAACTCTGGGACCCAGATATTGAGCTACAGCTGGACATCTGTACCCCGCTATTTGCACTAGAGTACTTCAAATAGGTTGTAGCATTTCGACCCCCGGGGCACAATTGGAAGTTAGTGAAGTCAGTCTGTCTTTTACGCATTGCGTTCTCGTTCTGCTCCTTCAGGGGCGATCGGCGTCCGTAGAGGGCAACCTCTCCCAGACCGTGCTGTCGCTCGCACACCCTCAGGCGACTTAGTTTGCAGTGGAATTCCTCTTCCGCCATAATCGGCACATACTTCACAGTTCGGACTTATATGGCTGGTGGTTCGCTGTCTTTTCTCGTGTTCGTGGTGTCTCTGCCTCCTTATGTATCTAGTGAAGCCCGGCGTAGTATTATCGGGTATTGTTGGAAAATTGGCGAGCCCGCTCCAGACTTGCGGAGGGTCTCTACATCTATCAGCCGCTCTCCCCTCTACACTTGACTTGGGATGGGCATGGATTGTCTTACTCCTTCCTCTCTCCTGCTCTGCTTTTTCTCCTTGGAAGCATGTGAACATGTCATCGTTATCTCCCTTTGACTCAACAAGCTGTAGCCGCAGCTTTATTCCCAACTTGGCTACTCTCTTCACTGAATGATCTATAGTTCCAGCTAACAACTTAGATCTTAAATTTCCAGTAGTATCCTGGTGTACCTATCCAACTGCAATATCGTCCACCTCTAATCTGGATACTGCTCTAATTAGGGACTCCGGTTTAATTCGTGAATGTATATCCTGTTCTTCACTAGTGGCACTGAGCCATCTTGTACTCGGTGGAATTCTCTTTGTGTATGACGATGTGGATGTGTGGTTTCCTTCAAGATTCTCGAGATGCCCACAAACACAATTCTTATCGTCCCTATACAGACAACTTCTGCACAATCTATCTGATACAATTTATAGGTGTGCCCGTGAATTATTAGCGCCATATACAGGTTCAGGTATATCATGAGAGGATAGGCTGAAGACAACAGTAGCTTCCTGACTCGTACTATTTTTAAGGAAATTCAATCGATTGCGCAGAGGTACTTAGATATTATTGTATTATTTAATCTATATAAGTAAAGGTATCTCCCCGCTCCATGAGATAAGATATGCAATCACCAGTGTCCCTCTTGCCGTAGCATTCACACGACTATTTCCGGTTCCCCATAATGTCAAATCATCAGTATAGTTGTCTTACTTGTACCGATCTAATAGAGGAATGGTTTTTTTGTGATGTTGGTAATTCATAAAGCACACACTTGTATGGGTGTCATCTAGAGACAACTAGTGCATAACCGGTGGTGCTATAGTGATGACCAGCAATAATTAGAACCGTCTTCCAAGCATACACTGGCAAATGAGAAATAGTCACTAAAATTGAGAGTACAGAGTTAAATCCTGAAAAAGAATCGAATAAGGAACTTACAAAATACAGTGGAAAGTTTCTCAGAACAGGTAGAATCAAACAGAAGAAAAATCTCAGAGGCTTGGAAATAACATACCTTAATTTAATAAGTAGGCAGTTCAATAGAAATATATAGAGGACGTGGTGCAGACTAGCAGAAAACCTGCGCACACTGCCTACTCAGAAGGTTACGGTGGCGCTATGATCTTGTGAAGAAGGCCAATAACATAGAGTCTGATTTAGTTTTTGAAGAAGGAAGAATGGTATCACATCACTTAAGGTATTCAGTCATAGTGTCCGTGTCATAGGATAGGCATTTCTGTAAAGGTGGCACTCAGTTTCCCAGCTGTGCGTACCTTGATTATACAAGTGGAAGACTTCGATGGAGGAGTCCTGGGACCCTTGCAGAATGTGCATTAGCGTCACTTTAATACTCGCGCCGTATCAAGGATGCGTTCAGACCGATGGTCTATAGTGCGCGACAATCAGGCTGACAGAATATCAATTAAAGAGCCCTTCATTAAAGCCTAAGGACAAAGATACACTGGTAGGAAAGTACGGTTGGAAGTAAAAGCCGCGACTCAGGAAACATCAGAACCTTCCTATTGGCTTCATAGTTAGCGAGTCCAACAGTGCATCTGATAATCTGCTGGCCTCTCCAGGTACAATTCGACTTTTTCGAAGGGATAAAAACGGGCATGCTCGCACAAATGGGCCTACCACAACATACATGCCTCCCTGACAAAAGATACTTACATGCGGCTTCTAAGGAAGGAGAAATAAAAACATCTTCAGACATAGCAGTAAGGGCTCAGAGTAGAGGTTCACCAAGGATACAATACTGAGACCTGCGACCTCTAGTAGAAAACGGGCCTAGTCATCTACTTACACCATTCCATTCTCCGACACCTTACGCGATACTAACATCTCTGGATATACCCATGACAGCATGACAGACACACAAACGCCACCAGGCCAACAACCCTCAAGCGCACCAGTTACAATAGGTAGGATTATTGTACAATGGGCTCAAGACCAGAATAGGAACAAATCCAACCCGAAGTCGGGGAGTTCCACCTTCGCCAGCAGGAAACACACTTTTGGACCCCCCTACTTGGCAGGTCTCATGGCCTCCTTATTTGGGAGGTAGCTTTGACAACCTCTCTCATCCAGATAGGTACGTGTGATCTGCCCCTGGAGCACCTGCACACCTCAAGGATTAATGCATTGATTAATCAACAGTCATATTAGCTATTATTGCTGTCGTCGCCCAACAATGGGAAAGAAAACACTCACTCCGTCACCCAGTGCGCTCTGATATACAGAGTGCATGATTCTTTGTGCTGATACCTAGAGTTCAAAGTGAGACTCATTATCTACCAGCACACCTAATGAGAAAGTAAAGAGATGGCCAGGAAGTCCCGGACAATTGGTGGCAAGTCTCCAACAGGAGCCCAAGCTGGATCTATTTTTCTCTTTACGACCTCAGGATCTGGCCCTAGTTTTTTTTTCTACCCATGGCCAACAATCACCGATAGCGAGTCAAGCTGTTCTGTAGAATAAGGGGAAGGGCGTCTTCCAGGTTGATTCCCCTTAGTCCGCTATTAAATGTGGTCAAGGGTCCACAATAGGAAAGAGGGAAGATAACAGGTTACTCATTCCTGAAGTTGGTCTTACTCAGAGTCTGGTCCGCGCCCAACTTTAGTGCCCATGGATTCATTTATAAGTATCGCTCTGTTGGAGAAGCGAAGATGGGTAAAATCTAGCTCAGGCAGAGGAGAGTTAGCCGAAAAGCTTTCAACAACCCACTGACGCACGACAGATCCTCCAAATGATGGCGACCTTGTTAACTCGCGCAGCAATCTAGATGGTCTACAGATGCACACACGGTGAACAATTTGTGGTCTTGGGCACTGAGAGATCTTACAGAAGCGCTTCTAAGCCCAACCTATTCCACTAATATTAGGCTGCCGCATCTCATCCACCGATGGCACAGGTTTCCTAAGAGCTTTATGACCCGCTAGCTGATGTCACCGCGTTTCACTGAGTGTGTACCGACAACAGGGATCTCTAATCTAGCACGCTGAGAATATGTCACAAACCAGCATTTAGAAAGTCCCAGATGCAGAGGAGAGGACAACAGGGACTCACCCTTCAATCAAATAATCACAGCGGGAATAAACTAACCATTCAATACCCGCTGTTCTCGAGAGCAATGCTACCGGCATCTACACAAAACGTGGAATAAGTCTCAGCCTTCCACCGTTTACCGTAGCCTAATGACTTCCCTTTCCTCGATAAAGATGAAGAATCTGTCCACGACGGATCTCAAAAGAGTTCTATAGACGCACACTGACCTTTCACAGGCCCGTTACGTCGCCCTCTGGATGCATAATGCCTTATTCATCACTGGTCTATACTGGTGCATATTTAATTTCTGCTATGAATCTGTCTTTTCTGCAGACACGGAGAGCACACTCTTATTAAATACATGGCCGATGGATTTCAAAATCGTGACCGCCATCATTTCTTTATTCTAATCCCCCTAATCAGACTTCAGACCTGAAA